CTGTAGGCGTGGCAGATCGTTTCGTGGAGGCCCTCCGGGGGCTGCTGTCAGTGAGGTGGGGAGTATGTACTGGGTTGTGGTAGACGGGAACGGATGGCTAGTTCATGGATGTCAGTTGTTACTCTTTTTCTATCAGTTACTTGCAAGAACACAAATGTTGTGCTTACCAAATTGGTGGATATACAACCAACGAGAGAGTGCGCCAAGACATTTGATGTCAGTTAGGATCTCAGGAGAACAGCAGGCTGGAGCAATGGACAACAGAAATCCCAGCAGTTCCGATGGGGGGCTGAGGGGGCTTGCATTCTCTGGAAGGAGGGAGGTGATGGTCTTGCCCAGCCTTTCAGGCTGCACCTGGGGTCTTTGGTTCTGAAGAGAGCTCAGAGAAAGATAAAAGAGTGGGGAGCATGATTTCAGATGGAAAATGGTGGGGAGAGATGAGACTGTTCTTTCAGGATGGGGGGAGGGCTTGAAAAGTTCTCTTGGGAAGAGGGGACGTCCTAGGGGCTCAGGACCTGCAGCAGGGTGGTAAAATCAGACCTGCCCTGTGGGGCCCCTGGGCATGGAGGCAGATTTTGACTCTTGGAGGGGGAACTCCCCAAAAGCCCCACCCAGGAATTAGCGCGCACGCGCGTGCACACACGCACACACACACGCACACACACGCACACACACACACACTGCTCACTGCCAGATGCAAGCAGAGGCAGTGCTGCCAAGTGGTTAATGCGTGACCCTCCCTGCAGGTCCACGTCCCCGCCTAGCCCCAGGCACAGAGTAGGGCTGCGGTGGACTGAATGGTCCGTGTGAACTATTTTAATCTCAAAAGAACAGCCTCGGCTCCAAGAGGCAAGGCGGATGGCCTCTCATGAGCTCAGACATCCCCGCCTGCATGGGGCCTTTCTTAAAGTTTTTTTTTTTTTTAATAGGCAATACATGCATGTGGCAAAAAATGCAAAGGGGGCATATATGTGTAAACAGTAAGACTTGCCCTATTCCCGGTGTCTCCTCGAAAGGCAGACAGTGTTACCCAGGTTCTTGTTTATCATTCCAGAGATGGTGAGTGTGTGTGTGTGTGTGTGTGTGTGTGTGTGTGTGTGTGTGTGTGTGTGAGAATGTCTAAGTTTGTGTGTTTTCTTTTTTATAAAAAGTTAGCTTAATATACATATAGTGCTGCACCTTTGATTAATAATGGTGATCATTTCATACAGCGCTGGACTACTTGCCAAACCCACCTAGAGGCATCTCAGAAGACAGGCCTGATAATCTGCTCCTGAAAGGTCACAGCCTTGAAAACGCTATGGAGCAGTTCTGCTCTGCACACGTGGGGTCACCATGAGTCAGAATGGACTAGAGGGCGACTAACAAGTTTTTAAAATAGCTGCATCGTATCTGTTGTATACATCTGCCTTAATTTATTATACCACCCTCTTATTGGTGGATATTTCGATGTTTTTTTGTTACTGCAGATAATGCCTCAGTAAAATGCGTGTCCATGTGCGATTTCACACAGCTATAAGGGTTTGTGGGAAATAAATTTCTGAAAGTAGAATTGCTGGGTCAAGGGTGTGTGCGTTTTAACTTTGCTAGGCCTTCCTAGAGTGCTCTCCAGTGTGAGGGGCTTGCTTTTCCATGCTTGTGCCAATTTAGTGTATTATCGACTTTTTACTTTTTTTCAGTCTTGATAAATCAAAAGTGACATCTCTCTATTTCTAATCGACAGTTCTCTTAGTATATTAAAGGTGAAGGTGAACATCTGGAGTTCTTGTTTTGTAATTAGCTGTTGACATCATTTGATAATTTCTCTAGTGGTTATTAGCCTTTTTCTTTTTTTAAAATTTTTACTTGTTGAAAATATACACAAATTGTTCTGTGCATTGGTTGCAATCCCAGCAGTGTGTCACTACTCTCCCCTTTTCCACCCCGGGTTCCCCGTGTCCATTCATCCAGTTTTCCTGTCCCTTCCTGTCTTCTCGTCTTGCCTTTGGGTAGGAGTTGCCCATCTGGTCTCGTATACTTGGTTGAACTAAGAAGCACGTTTCTCACATGTGTTAATTGTTTGTTTATAGGCCTGTCTAATCTTTGGCTGAAAAGTGGACTTCAGGAGTAGCTTCAGTTTTGAGTTGGCAGGGTATCCAGGGGCCATAGTCTCGGGGGTTCCTCCAGTCTCTGTCAGACCAGTAAGTCTGGTCTTTTTTTGTGAATTTGAATTTTGTTTTACATTTTTCTCCTGCTCTGTTTGGGACCCTCCATTACGGTCCCTGTCAGAGCCATCAGTGGTGGTAGGTGGGCACCATCTAGTTCTGGGCTCAGGCTACTGGAGGCTTGGTCTTTTTCTTAATGATTTATTTTTAAAGAGCTTTTTATTGAGGGGCAGGGTGGGGAGGAAGACCGTAAAATATTTTCCCTAAGATTGCCATTTCTCTTGTTATGATGTTTTGCTTGTTTCATATGTCTTTGGGCTTGGGGCCATTCCTTACATTTGATTAAGTGAATTTACCTCACATTTACTTAGTATGAGGACTAGGGTGGTAGTCTAGCTTTATTTGTGTATTTACTTGTTTTTTTTTTTTTTTTTGTCGCTGCTGTGGATGGGGCCTTTTGGCCTCATTTCTCTGAAAGGAGACCAGTATGGAAGGCAGGTCTCTGGTGCCCAACGGCCCTGCTTAGTGGCCCTTTGCAGAGAGGAAAGTGTTAAAAACGGCTTGGGGGCAGTGTTTGACCTCCTTTAACTTAACAAAAGGGAAGGAGGATCAAGATCTACAGGGCAAGGATGATTCTTATGAGGCAGAGGTCAGACATGCCTCCTGTCTCTGCCATCTTTACCAATTCTGACACCAATTGTCCTTCCCACGACACTCTCTACTTCTCTGCTGGATTCGATAATACATTACTGTGGCCACACAACTCACAGACAGTACTCACCATTATGGGGTTTATTAAGGAAGTAACAGTTACAATTCAGGTTCAGGAACACTCAGGATACAGTTCTTCCATCAGGACAGCCTCTTCCCAGCCTTGCTCGCAGGCACGCCTCTCCCTGGCCCTAGGCCTCTGTCCAGAGGCACTCAGCTTTCTGCCTCTGAGGACCTGGAAGCCCACCACACCGTCTCCTGCTGCCGGGTCTCACTGTCTTCAGTGTTACAGCTTGCTCGCTCTCTCTGTCTGCTGGTTCCAGGAGCTTCTCAGCGCAGGGATCCCAGGTCCAAAGGATGCGCTCAGTGGTGATGGCATCCTCATTTTCCTACCTATGGGGTGGCTCATTTCAAGCCCAGTGGGATGGCAAAAACCAAGCCCCTTTGGTGGGCCACAGTTACCCTATCGCACAGTCCTGCCCAGTTACTTGGGTGGGAGTTACAAGACCACCGTGAGAAAGGCCACACAGTAGTGATTCATCGCACCACAGAAGGTGTCAGGAACACCGTTGCAGTTTGCCTTGCTTTCCCTCAGGACAGTTCCTCTTTTCTCCTTTCAGAAGGTCCCTGGGCCACCTTTCAAACCCCCTGTGCTCCCTCCGCACTAGTGAGTCTAAGGTTCTATCAGAATCTGGGCAGAAAGGTGGAACCGAGAGCGTTTTAGGGTCAGGCTGAGGGCAGGTACTCGGAGGGTTTTATGCTGAGACTCCCAGCCACAGGGAGATGAGTCAGACCCTCTCCAAGGGCAGAACCACTGGGGATCTCACACCATAGATTTAGGGGGCTCAGAAAGACTAAGAGCTATGCAGGGCAAAGGGCACCTTGGTCCACATTGAAAAAAAAAGCAAAAACCCAAACCCATTGCCATCAAGTCGAGTCCAACTCATGGCGACCCCATGTGTGTTACAGAGTAGAATTGCTTCATAGTGTTTCCTTGTCTGTAATCTTTATGGAAACAGATGGCCAGGCCTTTCTTTCACAGTGCCACTCGGTGAATTCGAACCGCTAACTTTTTAGGTTAGCAGCTGAGAGCAAACCATTTGTGCCACCCAGGGACCTCTTTGTCCACCTTGCTGGTAGCCAGTTCCAGCCCTCTCCAAGCTCACTGGGCCATCTTCTGGTTTTCCATGTGGCTTTGTGTACAGTCACTTCTGGACTTACTGACCAAATGACCACGCCCGTAGGGCTAAGAACCAGGACGACCTGTAGGGGCCAGTGGCACCTTAAGGAAATCCTTCAGCTTCTTGAAAACCCATGCCCAGTTCCCCAAGGTAGATAGCAAAGGCAAATAGAATCTTGTGGGTGGATAGAGGCATCTAGAGCCGTGGTTCTCAAAGTGTGATCCCCAGGACCAGCAGCATCAGCACCACCTGGGAACTTGTTGGAAATGCAAATCCTGGTTCTACTAACTCAAACTCTGGGGATGGGGCCCAGCAATCTGTTTAACAAGCCCCCAGGTGATTCTTATGGTGGCTGGCTGAAGTGTGAGAGCTGTGGTCTGTGGTCTGTGGTGGTTTGGGACCCAGATGCAAGGAGGATCAGTTCACCTGAGGCCAGCAGGTGTGGTGTTTTTTTTTTTTTTTTTTTTAGGTTTTATGTATTTATACTTACATAAAAACCTTGAAAACACACAGAATTACTGATTCTTTTGTTTTTTGTTTAATTGTGCTTTAGGTGAAAGTTTACAGCTCAAGTTAATTTCTCACTCAAAAATTTACGCCCATATTGTTTTGTCACGACAGTTGCAATCCCCACAATGTGACAGTACATTCTCCCTTTCCACCCTGGGTTCCCTGTGTCCATTTGTCGAGTTCTTGTCCCTTCCTACCTTCTCATGCTGCCCATTTGGTCTCATATATATGACTGAACTAAGAAGCACACTCCTCATGTGTATTATTCTTCGTTTTATGGTCCAGTCTAATCTTTGTCTGAAGAGTGGGCTTCAGGAATGGTTTCAGTTCTGGGTTAACAGTGCATCCGGGGGCCATAGTTTTGGAGGTTCGTTCAGTCTCTGTCAGACCATTAAGTCTGGTCTTTTTACGCGAATTTGAATTCTGTTCTACATTTTTCTCCTGCTCTTTCTGGGACTCTGTGTTCCCTGTCAGGGCAGTCATCGGTGGTAGCTGGGTACCATCTAGTTCTTCTGGAGCACATATGGTTTTTTAGGAACCTACAGGTTTGTTTTCTTTTTAATAGACATTGGGTGCCTTGCAAACTGCAGCAGCAGAGTAGGCAGGTTATTTGACAGTCTCTGTGTGGCTGGTGTCATGGCAGATCTGTGTCCCTTCCAGGCAGTTTAGTTGGCATAGGACTCAGCAGAGAGGTTTGCATGAAGATGGACTTTGTGAGAGCAGGTGTCCCACAGGGCACCAGCCACCAAGGGCCCAGGCCTCTCTTACCCTTCCTGACTGATCTGCAGGCCACCGGCCCTCTCTGAGCGTCATTTGTCTCATCTACAGTACCAGAAGGTGCTGCCTCATTTGCTTTGATTCCAGACCCTGGATCAGATGAGGCTTCGTGAGGCCCCTTCTTGTTTCTAGGAACAATGATCCCATACTTTACTGGGCTCCCTGGCCCAGTAATCCAGAGATTGGAGAATGAAATGTGTAGCTTGGGGCAGGCCCATGATGGAGGCAGCTGTGGATAGCTTCGGGTCTGTAGTTTGGGCACAGATGGGCCTCTGGCTTACTCTGTTGCTAGAGGGATGGTGATAACAACCAAACCAGTTGCCATCGAGTCTATTCCAACTCATGGTGTCTCCATGTATGGCAGAATAGAACTGTGCTTCATGTTCAATGGCTGATTTTTTGGAAGTAGATTGCCAGGCCTTTCTTCCAAGGTGCCTCTGGATGGATTTGAACCTCCAGCCTTTCAGTTAGCAGCTGAACGTATTAATGATTTGCACCACCCAGGGCCTCCCAGCACAGGAGGAGAAAGACGAGGAGACCATGACCCCTGAGAATGCGGCAGTACATACTCTCCAGACCTAGAAGTGAAGCTTGGGTGAAAGTGGTTTTCAAGGAAACTACAGACTTGCCCCACGCCAAAGTGAATCCTATATAGCCTGAGGAGCACACGCCAGAAGCCTGCAGTCCCTCGCTATTTCTAGCTGGAGGCCCCAGCAGGTAGAGAGTAAACTTGGTTGCCAGAAGTAAGGCCTCATGCAACTTCTCTTCCTGCAGGGCCCGGAAGTGGTTGTTGCTCTCCCAAGAAGACCAGCCCTACGTGTCCGTGGGGGTGAGGGCAGGTGAGGGCTCCTGGACAGAGCCTGAAGGTGCTTTCCTCTTGCCTTTCAGATCCAACCATGAGCTACCCAGGCTATCCCCCACCCGCTGGTGGCTACCCCCCAGCTGCCCCAGGTAAGAGGGTCTGAGGTGGGGTTGAGGAGTGAACACAGCTCTGCTCAGAGCAGGCAATGGAGAGGGGAATAATAATCATGTTTTCTGGTAGTTTTTTCACTCCCCATCTTTCCCCACAGTGCAGCCAGGTGAGGGAGGAGAAGATGGGGTGCGGCTGGAGAAGGCGCATGGGTGCTGAAGCTAGGTGAAGCCTGGGCTTGACGCTGGTTCTGGACTGCCAGACCAGGCAGGGGCCCAGTCTTCTGCCTTAGTAGCTGATAAAAAAGCCCACTGCTGTCAAGTCGATTCCAACTCATAGTGACCCTATAGGACAGAATAGAACTGCCCCATAGGGTCTCCAAGGAGTGTCTGCTAGATTCGAACTACTGACCTTTTGGTTAGCAGCCAGGCTCTTATAGTAGCTGATAACCCACCCCAAACCCATTGCCGTTGAGTCAGTTCCGACTCATGACGACCCTATAGGACAGGGTAGAACTGCCCCATAGGGTTTCCAAAGAGCAGCTTGTGGATTCGAACTGCTGACCTTTTGGTTAGCAGCTGAATGCTTAACCACTGCGCCACCAGGGCTCCGTAGTAGCTGATAGCAGTGGGCATATGCTCTCGCTTCTGTGAGACTCAGTTTCTCCTCTGCTGCATGTCTTCGTGGATCCCTCCCCCATTGGACTGTCATTGGTATTTATGAGAGAGCATGCCGAGCCTCTGCACTGTGTCCTCTGAACCACTGTTAGGTGATGATGCCCCTTGTCACTTCTGCTACCCCATGTTCAAGGCTGTGGTGTTGCAACAGGATCCTCCTGCAGCGAGGAAATTGAGGCTTATCTCCTGGAGGCCGACGCTCAGGGTCAAACGTTACTCACAGTGGCTGCCCAGAAGTGGTGGCGGCAGATAGTGCAGTGAACCACTTGCCAGGTGGTCCAGACACGGCCCCAACATCATGCTTCTCTTCACACTGATGAGTAATCTAGCCCTGGCCACACCTGATCTTTCAGGAAGGAGATTTGCTCTCCACAGTGGGAAATACCAGGGCCCTGGGACAAGGGGGAGAAGAGGGGTCATTGCAAGGTTGGTCTTCCTGAGGGGGCCTGAGTGGCAGCTGTCCCCTCACCCCAGAAGACTTCTGGGTATCTGCAGGTCATTGGGACCCACCTTCCTCATTTAACAGGTGAAGAAACAGGCCCAGAATGGGAGGTGGCTTAGCCACTGTCACCGGCTTATTAGGCTTATCTGAACAAAGACCCTGCCCCAGATTTGCCTCAGTCCCCTCTCTTTAGTTGGAATCCTACCGCTGCCACCCTTTGTCAGCTCAGTGCGGCAGCCTTTGAGCAGCAGGAGAGGGCTGGGTACCGACTTGGAGAAGGATCTGCCCTGAGCATCCTAGAGCCCAGAGCTGAAAAGCCACACTCAGGCCCTCACGCCTTTTCCTTGCCATGAGCGGCAACGCTTGTCACCGCCAGCAGCCCCACGGTGACGACGGGGGTTGTACTACGACTCAGTGACAGCGTGAGGCTCACCGTGCACCCAGCTAATCTCTGCACAGGTCCTCATCATGGGGTTTTGAGGGAGACTAATTGTCATCACCGCTTGTCCACCCAGGAAACTGAGCCCTGAGTGGCCACGGGCCTTGCCTGGAGTACACACCTTGATCCTGCTGGTCTCAAACCTGGGGCTTTTCACTACTGTTCTGCTAAGGACGAGTAACATCTGTGCTTCCCACAATCCAGCTGGTCCCCCTCTCCATCCTCCCGTCCTGCCCCTCCCTGCCTTTTACAGAGTTGCGAGCAGACAGCCACAGTGACTGAGCCACTTGCCCTGCTCTGGGCCTGTTTCTTCACCTGTCAGATGGGAGGGTGGTCCTAGTGACCCGCCCTCTCAATACTGTTGCATTACTCCCGGATTCTCAGGCTCACCACTGTCATGTGCTCAGCACGTTATCCCCCGTCTATTCACGGGTCTGCTCTCGGAGTTGCACCTCCTGATACCCCCAAGGGTCTCGGGAGTGTTGCTGAACTTGGCCTTCCTCCCTGGAAGGAGGGAGGGGTTCCTCTTCTCCTCTGGCAGCGGGGTTGTGTTAGATTTTCCCACCCATGTGTTTTCTGGGTGGTCTGCAGAGCTGTCCCCAGGGGCTCCTCCTGACCTCCCTTCATGATGCCCGGGAGCTCGGCCCCTTTAGGGGGTCACCCAGGGGGCTAAAGGGCTTGCTGTTGTTTTCAGGTGGCGGTGCCTGGGGGGGTGCTGGCTACCCTATGCCCAGCATGCCCCCCATCGGGCTAGATAACGTGGCCAGCTACGCAGGGCAGTTCAACCAGGACTACCTCTCAGGAATGGTGAGTCCCGGTTGCTGAGGCTGCCCCTGGGGCTGGGTTTGTGTAGGGGGCAGCTACTGGCTTCCTGTGGCTTCTGAGGGGTCTGTGTGTGTTGCCCTGTGGGTGTGGGCTGTGTTGAGCTGCAAGCATCTTAGGACATGAGGGTTTTCATCAGGGAGGGCTCTGCCACCTCCTCGCTGTCCCTCTCTGGCTCTCAGTTTTCCCATCCATGAAATGAGGGGAAGGGGAACGTATTGGACTGATGGTGTCTCCGTCCCTTTCAGCCCTGGGGGGCTGGTACAGGGTAGTGCCTTCGTGGGATGTTTATTGAGACATTTCTGTATGAGCTCAGCATAGTGCTGGAATCTGTGTGAGAGGGAGGGAGGTCGGGGGGTACATGTGTGCATGTGTGTGTGTGCATGTTTGCATGTGGATGGCTATGCTGGTCAGGCTGGACTAGGGAGTGTCAGGTAGCATGGAGGATATGCTACTTGTGTTTGTGGTTTTGCTTTTAAAAGGATATATTTTATAATCTGAAAACAAATATATGCTTGATGTAAACAATGCAAACAATATACAGTCTAACGTTTGCCAGGCCCACTTCTAGGAACTGGGGACACGTGAATAAAACAAACTGGAATCCCGGCCCTGGTGCGCTTGTCATCTCATGGACAGAGGCAAATCATAACCATAAGAATTATAGACAGCGGTGGTGCTAGGGGGAAAAGAAGAGCCGAGTTAGGGGTCAGGAGTGCAGGGGGTGGGGTGGGGTAATGATTTTAAGTTGAGTGGTCAGGGTGGGCCTTGCTGAGAAGGTGTCTTAGGCTGGGTTCTCTAGAGAAGCAAAACCAATAAAGTGTATAAATATATATATAGAGAGAGATTATATCAAGAAAACAGCTCACGCGATTGTAGAGGCTAGAACGTCCCAAGTCCGTGGATCAGGGTAGAGGCCTCTCCCAAGTCACACAGCCACAGAATTGGCAAGCCCAAGATCAGAAGGTCGGAGAGCAGGGCTCCCACTCACAGGCTGTGCAGATCGACGAATCCCAGGTTCGGCAGATAAGCTGACAGCTCAAGTCCCAAGAACGGGTGATGAGATGACAGGAAGCAGCCGCAGGATCTAGACAGAGTAAAAAGCCAGAACGTCTGCTTACATACAGATTTGGGCCACACCCCAAGGAGACTCCCTTTCATCTGATTGGCTACTCACAGTATATTCAATCATGGGAGTGATTTCATTACAACACGGAGAATCATGGCCCAGCCAAGTTGACACACAATCTTAACCATCACAGAAGGTGACGCTGGCACAAAGGAAGGAGGGAGCGTGCTCCACGAGTGCTGCGGGGAAGTTGCACCAGGCAGAAGGAATGCTACGCCTGGTACACTCAGCGATCAGTTAAGAGGCCAGCGTGCCTGATGCAGACAAGGGGGGCCGAGTGAGCAATGGGGTTGGAGGTCCAGATCCTGGAGGGTGTGGGAGACCGTCGTCGGCATTTAGACTTTGACACTATGGGTGTGGTGTTGACAACGAAGGAGGTAGAAGTACAAGCGCACCTGAACCTCCCCTCCCGGAGGTCACTACGGTGAACTGGTTGGTGAGATGGTGCACCCCCAAACCTGCAGAACGGGCCCATGCACCCTGAGCTGTGAGCTCTTAACTTCCCCCAGCTGGCCTGGGATGGAAGGACCAGCGTTTGGTGAGGGAAGGCCAGCTCCCTGCTGAAGGAACCTGGCTCAGATCCAGAGAGATCAGTGTCAGAGGCCCAGCTTAACCGTTGACTGCCTGTATAGCTTTGAACAAGTGACTACCCTTCTCTGAACCCCTTTTGCCATCTGTTCAGTGGGTATTATAATACTTCCTATTTCACCAGTGGAGACACTGAGGATTGAGTTGGGTAAGGTCTGAAAAGAGCTCAGGCAGGGTGCACAGTAGGCGCTCAGGAGTGCGCTGATGGCGCTGGTGGCTGGTTTACTATGCCTGCGTGAGGCTTTTGAGAGCCTCCCACAGGGGCCAGGTGGGAAGAGCAGAGGGACAGAATACCTTGGGCCTCGTTGGGGCCTCTGGTCTCAGGCGCTGCTTCTCCCACTTTCAGGCCGCCAACATGTCGGGGACGTTTGGAGGCTCCAACGTGCCGAACCTGTACCCAGGGACCCCTGGGGGCAGCTACCCTCCAGGCCCCCCTGGGGGCTTTGGGCAGCCCCCCTCTGCCCAGCAGCCCATTCCTCCATATGGAATGTACCCGCCCCCTGGAGGAAACCCGCCCTCTGGGATGCCCTCATACCCGCCATACCCAGGGGCTCCTGTGCCAGGCCAACCCATGCCACCCCCTGGGCAGCAGCCCCCAGGGGCTTACCCTGGCCAGCCGCCGATGGCCTACCCTGGGCAGCCACCAGTGCCTCCCCCTGTGCAACAGCAGCTGGTGCCAAGCTACCCAGTGTACCCAGCGTCCGGGGCTGTCACCCCGGCTGTGCCCCCAGCCCAGGTAAGTACGAGCCCTGCGCTGCCCTTGGTCCAGAAGACAGCCCGGCATCCTCTGCCAGCAAGGCCCAGGGCTGGGAGGGAGGGCTCGGTCCTGCAGCTACAATGTTGCGTTTTCACAGAGTGTCTGCTTTGCAGAACCCCAGACCCTGGTTTGTAGTTCTTAAAACCTAAGGGAATGGCCTTGCTCTTCCAGCTTGGGCAGAGGTTCTGTGTGCGAGCTGGGTCTGGATGCCCTGTGGGCTCTTCGCACTCTGTGCTTACTTATTGCCAGGCTGTGCGTTCTGCCAGCCCCAGCTTTATGCTAGCAGCCCTTCGTTTTCAGTCCCCTTGACACGTGCGTACCCCCCGCCCCGCCCCACCATCCCGACGGGTTTTGGAGGAGTTTTAGGACTTCCTTTGGGTAGAGAAAGTTGGCAGCTCTCCCTGTCCCAGGTTGATCTTGGCTCATTTCAGAGAACAGTATGTTTGCAGAGCCCAGACTTTGTTGTCATGGTTATATGGCCCAGTCAGCCCGGTGCGGGCTGTGGTATGTATATGCCTGCTATTTTTAGATAGAGGATCCCCTTCCTCCCCACCCACCACCCACGTAGTGCCCCACCCCTGCCCTGCTCACCACCCTCTCTCCCTGCCAGCCTCCCTCATCTTTGCTCTGAGCTTATTTCCTTAACTGTGTGATAACCAGTTCATATTAGCCACAAGAAGATGACCTGCTGGGAGACAGGTTAGCTTGGCAAGTTCACACTTGCTGGGTGGTGCAGCTATAGGCGCTAGGAGGAAGGCTAGCAGCCAGCTGGTTGTGGAATGCAGAGAACAATGCTTGGAAGCCAGGGCTAGTCCAAGAGGGAGTTAGTCTGTGTTAAGGGTCAGGGCTGCCATGTCCCATTGTGAGTTTGCATACCTGGGGTGGGGCTGCATCCACCTGGAGGGGATGCTTTTTTTCTAATTTGCACAAAGATGCTATGTTGGCTAGCCAGGCCCTTTTAGGAGGACCTTGAGGTGTGCTCACAGGACGGCAGAGAGGGGCCTGGGAGGCCGCAGCCCCTGCTCCTGAGGCCTGCCTGTAGTGAGGAAGCCACGCTGCAGTCCTTGTAGGGCTGGGGGAGGACTCGGCTGGGGGCAGGTTTTCAGAGTCAGGACTAGCTCCAGTGGGGCTCCTAGTCATGGGCAGATGCTTCAGTCCCCAAACCCGAGGACAGATACAGCTAAGTCAGGCTGACTCCGCACTGCTGACGGGGGGCCCCTTCAGGTACCCCGACTCTTGGAGAAAGAATGGTTCCCAGAGTCTGGGGTGAACAGTCCCTTGTCGTCTCACCTGTGTCTGCTTATCCGAGTAGTTTGGGAACCGAGGCACCATCGCAGATGCTCCTGGCTTTGACCCCTTGCGAGATGCTGAGGTCCTGCGGAAGGCCATGAAAGGCTTTGGTGAGAGACCCAGGGGGCTGAAATTCTCCTGTCCCCATCACCAGGCAGTTACATGTGGCTCTGTGGGCTGGGGTAGCTGGCAGAGGCAAACCTGGTCCCAGTGGCCATAGAAGAAAAGGTGACCGTGGGGGTGGCAGTTGGGGTACCCAGGAGGATTAGAGGACCCAAGCCAGGAAAGTCTGCAGCTGACGAGCATCTTGTGACCCCAGCCCTGCCCACTCCCACCCCTTCTTCCTCCAGGGACTGACGAGCAGGCCATCATCGACTGCTTGGGGAGTCGCTCCAACAAGCAGCGGCAGCAGATCCTCCTGTCCTTCAAGACCGCGTATGGGAAGGTGAGCGGGCTGTGCCAGGCCATGTTCTGGGGGTCACCTCAGTGCAGCCCCACTCTTGCTGCCACCAGCCAGTGGCCTCCCAGCTGCTGGTGGTTTTAGAATTGAAGGCTGCCCTGAGGAAGAAGTCCCAGAGCCCATGTCGTACTAAGGCTGGGTGAAAGAAGTGCCAGGAGATCTGGGTTCTAGCCCTGGCTCTGCCACAACTCGCCAAGACCACAGACAAGTCATTCCCCACCCAGCCCACCTGCCACCCTGTGTCCCCACCTAGCAAACCAGCCTTCTTCACAACTACCCTGGGAGGCTTAGCGGATATAAGAGTTTTGAAGGAAAAGGCTTTAAATACTGAACAAATGCAAGGATGGGGGGGTGGGCACATTTTGATCTTTTGGGTTTTTTGAATCTTAGGAAAGTAAAAATTGGATGAGTATTGGATAGGTTAGTGCTGTAGCCCACTGCTTCTCAGACTTTGATGTGCCACGGACCCACTGAGCATCTTGTTCAAATGCAGACTCGGAGTCAGCAGGTATGGGAAGGGGCCTGAGATTTGGCTTTTCTTCAAGGCCCCCAGATGTTGCTGTTGCTGCTGGTCCTCGGGCTGTTCTTCCAGCAGCTAGGATCTGAGATGTTGTTCTGTTTAAGCATCTTCTGTGGGTTCTCAAAATATGTTTTGTTTCTTTAATATCCAATCAGGATTTGATCAAAGATCTGAAATCTGAACTGTCAGGAAACTTTGAGAAGACAATCCTGGCTATGATGAAGACTCCGATCCTCTTTGATGTGTATGAGATAAAGGAGGCTATAAAGGTGTGTACGTGTGTGTATGTGTGTGTCTGTCTGTCTGTTTGTTCATATGTGTAGGCACAGAGCCCAGAGGACTATGTGGCAGCTGAGTTGGAGTCCAGGTGCTGTGGACAGTTTAACTTTTGGTAATTTCCTCAAGAAGCATCTAAGTCTTTTGGTGGGGGTTGGGGTTGTCGAGGAAGCTAGTGATATGATAAAGAGAGAGGGGTATGAGACTGAAGTTGACATCATTCTCACTCATTGGAGCTCCGTTATTACCAAATAACAAACACGTTTGTGGAGCATAAGCGACACAAGAGAGAGGAATCAGTTGGGAGAATACAGAAGTGCTGCCCAGCATCGAGAGGGCCTGGGCCCGGGATGTGAATGGCAGGGACCTGGGCATGATTTCTCCTCATGGGGAAGCTCGTCTTGGCTTCTTCCTGAGAGCCCACTTCATTCTTCTGTTGGCTTTTGTGCTGCTCCTTCATGTCTACCTGGCGGGGCATGCCTGTCAACCTCTGTTTACGCTCAGATCCAGCCACAGAAGAGACCACCCGTCCCTCCACCAGATTCCAGGTAGAGGGCAGATTGGCTCAGCTTGGGCTCCCTCTCTCCCTCCAGCCCAATCAGTTAGGACCAGAGGGAGGGCCATACATATTCCAGGCAGTCCCTGTGGCTCCCGAGACACATAGCAGGTGTCCCACAGAATGGGGGGGAATCCTTGTGAATAGAGCAGGTCACCCAGAAGGAATCTGATAGTTACTCCGAGGCTGATAGGTGCGGTGACCTTTCCGGCCCCCAAGAGAAGCCGAGAATGCAATGTGGTGGTCTGGCAGGGAGAAGCACATCTTCATGCTTTCTTCTGGGGGAGGTCAGGAGGCAACCTGGGAGGCCCCAGGAGGTGGCCCACAGCCGGGGGAGAGCAGGAGAGGGCATCTGCCCAGCCCCCGCCTCCAGCCATCTCAGGCAGTGGTATTTGTGGGGTGCTGGAAACAGCAGAGGCCAGGGGACAGCTGTCACTAACTAGCTGTGTGTCCTTGAGCTTCTAGAAGTGGGAACCGGTGGGTCACCTCTTCCATGCCGTGGTGAGCGCTGACTAAGGTGACCAGTGGAAGCTGTCAGCTCTGAGCCGGTTAACAGCAGTGGGAGTGGTGATGGCACTGAGCTAGCACTGTCGGGGGCTTTCTGCGGGCAGGCACTGCTCCGAGTGTTCCCTCAGCTCACCCTCAGGCTTCCCTGAGGTAGGGACTAGGATCACCCCAACGAGGTACAGAGAGGTTAAGTAACATGCCCAAGGTCACACAACTTGTAAGTAGCAGAACCACAGTTCACATCGACATGAAAGCCTGGCTGCTGGCCTCGTCCTCTGCCTTCTTGCTGTCCCTGGCATTGTCATCCCTTCTGTCCTCATTGTTGTTGGCTTTTCCTAGTTGTCTGTAGACACTCCATAGTCCACTCTGTTATTGTAGTTAGTTGCCCTGTAGTCTATTCTGACTCATGGCAACCCCATGTGTGCAGAGCAGAACTGCTCCATAGGGTTTTCAAGGCTGTGACCTTTCAGGAGCAGATTATCAGGCCTGTCTTCTGAGACACCCCTGGGTAAGTTTGAACCACCAACCTTTCGGCTAGTAGTCGAACATATAACCGTCAGTGCCACCTGGGAACTGTACTGTCTGATCTCTGTTGGGTTAAACCCATTTTCTCAGTTGTTTCTCATCTCAGTCATGGGCTGAATTTGGAATAAAACAGCCCTGGGTCCCCATCCCAAGTTGACTGTGGACTGTGTGGCCTTGGACGAATTGCTGCTCCTCTGACTCTGTTTCCTCATGGGTGATCCCTGATTGTCACCCGTGTTGCTGTCGTGCTCTGGCGCCTGCCTGGCCTGGGCCGTGGAGGGAGTCCGGGCAGCAGCAGGAGGGGCGGGACTGTGCTGGGGCCGCTGTTGCTGGGTGTGATGCCCCGAGGGATAGAGCAGTGGCCTGGCACCTGCTATCTTTCCTGGGTGCTGCTAGGGAGGCTGTAAACATGTGGTTGATTGTGTTCTCTGCTCCTACAGGGGGCTGGCACCGACGAAGCCTGTCTAATTGAGATCCTGGCGTCCCGCAGCAATGAGCACATCCGGGAGATGAGTAGAGCCTACAAAGCAGGTGAGGCAGCTCCTAGGCCTCCCAGGTGCTGTGCTGTGCAGGTCCCTCTGCTTTTGGGGCCCTGGGCCACACCCCTTCCTGGCATTCTTATCACCCATTTCCTGCCACCCCAGTACATTGGGTTTTGACCCAAGGCCCAGGCCTGCCTGGTGTTTATACATGGGGCAGGGGATTTGGGGTAGGGAGGGCTGGGAAAACCTCTTGGGTGTGGTTTGGGCCAAGCCCTCCAGCGGTAGGTCAACCTGGAGATCACAGACTCCTCTGGACAACTGCCCTCCCATGCCCACTGTGGACTGTGTCTGCACTGGGCAGGCAGCTCCATCAAGGGGCTGCAGGGTGGTCCTTCCCTGTGTCTCTCCCACTCAGAATTCAAAAAGACCCTGGAGGAGGCCATTCGGAGCGACACGTCAGGGCACTTCCAGCGGCTCCTCATCTCACTCTCTCAGGTGTCTCTCCCACCTCAGGGCCTGGGCTCAGAGAGGGAGCAGTGGGCCCAGAGCGGCGAGCAGTGGGCCCAGAGCGGCGAGCAGTGGGCCCAGAGCAGGGAGCAGTGGGCCCAGAGCGGCGAGCAGTGGGCCCAGAGCGGCGAGCAGTGGGCCCAGAGCGGCGAGCAGTGGGCCCAGAGCGGGGAGCACTGGGCCCAGAGCGGCGAGCGGTGGGCCCAGAGCGGGGAGCGGTGGGCCCAGAGCGGCGAGCGGTGGGCTCAGCGGCGAGCAGTGGGCTCAGAGCGGCGAGCAGTGGGTTCAGAGCGGGGAGCAGTGGGCTCAGAGCGGCGAGCAGTGGGCTCAGAGCGGGGAGCAGTGGGCTCAGAGCGGCGAGCAGTGAGCAGTGGGCTCAGAGCGGGGAGCAGTGGGCTCAGAGCGGGGAGCAGTGGGCTCAGAGTGGGGAGGGGCCTTGAGCAATGAGGAAAGGGAGTGTGGGGGCAGCCACGTAGCTCCGGGAAGTGGGCCTGACCATGCAACCTGCATCCTTTCAGGGAAACCGGGATGAGAGCACAAATGTGGACTTGTCACTCGTCCAAAGAGATGTCCAGGTGAGTGACGGCACAGCCAGGCACCCCACCCAGACTTCCTCAGCCAGACGGTGCACCCGCTTTCTCGATGCTCAGGGGAGGTGCTCTGGGATGGCAAGAGCAGTGGTTATGGAGAGGGTTCAGGATGCTGTGAACGTCAGCTCTGCTGCTTGTCAACTGTGTGACCTTGAGCGAGTCACCCACCCTCTCTGCGCCTCAGTGTCTCCATTTATAGGAGGAAACTTGTCAGATGCTGAGTATTTCAGCAGTTGCTTGAGCAAGTTGTGGATGTGTGACTTCATGTGGGACCCCATGCATGCTTTCACTGTGTGTACTGGTATATACCAGGCTGTTTGCAGGGGGGCACACTTTGCAATTGCCTGTTAAGCTTTTGGAGGTTTGAGCCCAGAAACCAGCTGCCACATGAGTGGTGCAACCTGAGAATTCTGCCCTTGTCCCCAGCCTGGTATGAGTTGCAGACAAGAGGGGGAAAGACCCTCTGCCTTTTCCTGTCTTTGTCTAGGCATCTGGGCTCGGCTCCTCTCTGGAGGAGTTTGGGTTTCTTCCTAATGAATTGAGACCATAGTGTTCCGGCTGGAGATACCCATGGTGTCCTTGTGGGATGGAGCTGGGCATACCTAAGGCTCCAGCATACCCCCACCCCCACATTGCTCCTGCCATTGCATAAGTGCCAGTGGCCTCGTGTCATCTGTCATGTGTTAGGTTGGAGAAGGACCACGAGGAATGCCCCGTTAGGGCTGGGAGAGAGGACTCTTCTAGTCGTTTTGCTTTCCAGATGAGGAAACTAAAGCTCAGAGGGCAGTGGCCTGCCTAGAGTCCCACGACAAGTTGGTAGCAGAGCTGGCACTCGGACCCAGGCCTCTCCTCCCATTTCTTCCCTGCGTCACTCTCCCTTGGGCAGGTTATGGCTGTTCCTTCCCTGACCTGGGCCCCCAGTCATACCTTGGCTCTCGGATCCAGAGTCCTTTCCCAGCCTCAGGATCCTGTGTCACCCCTTGAGGGGATGTGTGGAGGGCATCTGGTTTGGCCCAGTAATGTTAAACAGCGGGGCCTCAGCAAACAGCTCCCGTGCTGGATGCTGCCTTCCCTCGCCTCCCCTCTACCTGCAGGGCTGGAGGCTGTCTGCTGAGCTTTCCTGGGCAACCTGAACCAGGTGTGGGGGGCAGGGCCCTCACTACATGTCTGTCTGCCTCTCTGTCCAGGAGCTGTACGCGGCTGGAGAGAATCGCCTGGGAACAGATGAGTCCAAGTTCAATGCAGTTCTGTGCTCTCGGAGCCGGGCCCATCTGGTGGCAGGTAAGGCAGTCCTGGGCCTCCCTGGGGCCAGTTAGATGAGGGCAGATAAGGCATTGTGGGGAAACGAAGCTTGCTGAGAACATTGGACATGTCTGCTCTGCATTGGAGCTTTTGCTTCCTCAGAACAGCCCTCTGGTGGTGATTTAAAAAGATGCTGTTGGGTTTCCTGAGTTTCTCCAAGCATCCTGTTCTGGAGGAAGCAAAGGAGGAGGTGAGAGAGGTGGTAGGCTCCTGTGGGCTGGTATCTGTACACTAGAATGTGGAAGGCATAGTTGGGAGAACCCCCGGGAGCACCCAGTCTGATGTTATCCAAAGTGTGGCATAAGAAAGAATTATAATAATAATACTAGAAGTCCTTGGATGGTGGTGCAAATGGTTAAGGTGCTTGGCTGCTAACCGAAAGGTTGGTGATTGAGTCCACTCAGAGGCACCTCAGAAGAAAGGCGTGGCGATTTGCTGAAAAATCAGCCACTGAAAACCCTCTGGAGCACATTTTCTACTCTGATACACGTGGGGTTGTCATGAGTCAGAATTTTTTTTAACATTTATTTACTTATTCAGTCATTCACCAAGTATAAATCACCTCCCAAGTGGGCCAGGCCATGTGGGAGGTGCTGGGGAAGCAGCAGGGAGCAGCTGGCTCCTAGCAGATTGAGAAAGACAAGACTGACGCATGAATGATAGAGAAGGAGTTGGGGGGGTTGTGCAAGGGGCTTGAGAAGAAAAGGAGACTGCTCTGGAGTGGGGGAGGGCCCTGGAGAGGATGAGGTGGGATCGGGTAAGAGGCTGAGCAGGGTGCAGCGTGGGGGGCGTTGTCTTGTTTGGGCACAGGGTTTGGAGGGCTGGGCCGGCGCCTTTGGGGGTCGAGGGGCACGGGGAGTCAAGTGGAAGAGGCAGTGTCATGGATTGAATCGTGTCCCCCAAAAAATGTGTGTATCAGTTTGGCTAGGCCATGATTCCCAGTGTTGTGTGGTTGTCCTCCATTTTGTGATTGTAATTTTACATTAAAGAGGATTAGGGTGGGATTGTAACACCACCCTAACCCAGGTCACATCCCTGATCCAATGTAAAGGGAGTTTCCCGGGGGTCTGACCTGTAGCACCCTTAATCTCTTGTAAGAGAGAAAAGGAAAGGGAAGCAAGTGGAGAGTTGGGAACCTCATACCACCCAGAAAGCAGTTCTGGGAGCGGAGTGCGTCCTTTGGACCTGAGGTTCCTGCGCTGGGATGCTCCCAGACCAAGGGAAGACTGATGCTTCACAAGGACCTTTCTCCAGAGCGGAAAGAGAGAGAAAGCCTTCTCCTGGAGCTGATGCCCTGAATTTGGACTTATAGTCTACTGGACTGTGAGAGAATAAACTTCTCTTTGTTAAAGCCATCCACTTGTGGTATTTCTGTTATAGCAGTACTAGATGACTGAGACAGGCGGGCTCCGGGAAGGGGAGCTGGTGCTTCCAGTCTCTGGGGTAGAGACCTCCTCACCATCTGTCTCTTCTTCTGTTTCCTGTTAGTTTTTAACGAATACCAGCGGATGACAGGTCGGGACATTGAGAAGAGCATCTGCCGGGAGATGTCCGGGGACCTGGAGCAGGGCATGCTGGCCGTGGGTAGGTGTTTTGGGCCTGCCTCACCCCCTGCCCGCAGGGGCTGCGCTCAGCTTCCCCTGCAGGCCAGGTGCTCTCTGGGGTGAGCACATGTTTGTAAGTTTTCAGGGTCTCACCATCCTCCAGCACTGGGGTGGTACAGTGAAAGAGCCACAGGGTCCCATGTGGCCAGGTCCAGCAGCTGCTTGGGGGGGAGTCGTACCCCTTCCGCGACCACTGCGGAGTCAAACAGGCCCTCGCTGTCCCAGAGGCATCCTGTTTGTTTGCAGGCTCTGTTCTAGGGACAGGAGCTGCAGTGTGGGTATTCATGGAACAGCATCCAGCTTCTCTCCCGGAGGAAGATGACTCCAATCCTGTCAAGTTTCCTGTAAAAATACGCCCCTGCAGGCAGTTGTCAGATGGTTGTGATGGAAACACGTGGAAAGATTTTTACTTGCAGCAGCAAAACAGAGCGTGCTCGGGAGAGCTGGCCCAGCTCCCAGGATGGGAGGGTGCCCCTGGCAGTGCCCATACCCTCTAAAGCAGTGCCTGACAGGCTCCTGGTTGACCCACGCTAAGGGGTTGGGGCCCCACCTATGGCCCTCACAGCCCCTCTTTATACCTGTCGGGAAAAATGAGTTTTCCTATTTTTGCTTTGTGTTTCTTGGAGCTTTTTGGGTGGGACACATGTCAATGCTCCTCATTTCCTTGCATGCTCCTCATGGTAGGCATTGAAGCCTGCTGGCAGAGAACTCTGGGGAGACCTTCGTTCCACTTGGCACTGCTCTCTTTGAGGATCATTGCATCTCCACTCGCCCCCTCCCCGCCTGAGTTGTGACGTGGTCCGTCCCTCCTTACCATCCATGTTTCCTCCCTGCACAGCTCCAAGCATCATTTAAACCCCCAACCCGTCTGCTTTTCAACTCTTCCACCATGTTGGTCGCCAGGGAAGAGGTTGCATGTTTTAATTCCAAAGAGCTGGAGTTGGGATAGTGAGCCTGGAGTGGGTAGGGGAGACGGATGCAGTGATGAGTTTGACATCTCGGTCTCTTAAGAGGACGTTTGTATGCTCCATGCTCCCTGGGACTGAGAATTTTCTGTAGATCTATTTATCCTGTGTTTCTCTTTTCTAGTGAAATGTCTGAAGAATATGCCAGCTTTTTTTGCCGAAAGGCTCAACAGGGCCATGAGGGTATGTAATGCTCATGTGCAGAAGGCCTGGGGATGGAAAAGGGGAGTCTCAGCCCACCTGGGGCTGGGGCTGAGGGTAGGAGGCACTGGGAAACCACACCTCCAGCCGAGAGGCCTGACAGCCCAGGGGGCAGGGAATGAGGCACCCTCTGTCCCCCTGCTCTGGGAGGTATGGGAGGGGCCAGAGCGCCAGGGCAGAAGGCAGGCGAGGAGGACTGTTGTTCATGCCCTGGATGGCCTCTCCTTAGGGAGCAGGAACAAAGGACCGGACCCTGATCCGCATCATGGTGTCTCGCAGTGAGATTGATCTTCTGGACATCAGAGCAGAGTACAAGAGGATGTACGGCAAGTCGCTGTACCATGACATCTCGGTATGGGCCTCGGGGCTGCCCCTGTTGTCTCACTGCCTGTGGCCTCCCTGGCCACTCCACTGTCCCCCTTTATCTCTCCCTTCTCCCACCTTCCGCGGTCCAGGGCCTCTCTGCCACACACTGGAATCTTGTCTATGGACCTCAAGTTGGTTCTCTTCAACTTTTCACTTGTTCATCCACTTGCCCCCAAACAGATTTAAGTTCCTTGAGGGCAGGGTGGATCTTACACTCTGCTCTTGACCCACCCTGCATCCCTCACCACTCTGTGAACAGCTAGCAGACCTCCCCCACCTTGGCTGGTGCCGGACTTCAGAATCCCGGCCACCTATGGCTCCATGTCCGTCAGTGAGACTCACATCCCAGGGGCCCTGGAGCTCAGTGCTGGCTCACTGATGCTGCTGCTTCCCGTCACGTCACAGTGGAGGCAGCATAGGAAGGCACTTTAGAACGTGGGCTCTGGGGTCACCCCACTTGGAGTCCAGTTCTGCCTTCTCTACCTGCCAACTATGTGCTCTCAAGCAGCTTCCTTGAACCTCCCTGACCCCAGTTCCATCATCTTTAAAATGGGGATAATAATAGTTCCTCCTTATGGATGTTGTGAGTATTGAATGAGGCCGTCCCTGTAACATGTATTGTGTCATGTATGTTGTTAGCCCCCCTGGAGTTGGCTCCGAGTCATGGCAACCCCATGCACAATGGGATCAGACTGTTGTGATCCATAGAGTTTTTGTTGGCTGATTCTTCCGAAGTAGATGATCAGGCCTTTCTTCCTAGTCCATCTTAGTCTGGAAGCTCCACTGAAACCCGTTCATCATCAAGGGGACACGCAAGCCTCCAGTGCCAGATGGATGGTGGCTGAACGTGGGGTGCATTGGCCGGGAATTGAAACCAGGTCTCCCACGTGGAAGGCGAGAATTCTACCGCTGAACCACCACTGCCCCTGTGATATATATATCACTAGCGTTTGACGCTGGGCAAGTCACTTAGAGAAGTTCGTTTCCATTACTCTGGCCTAAAAATGATGCTGCTAATAGCAGAGAATTGGTGACTGTTTCCAGAGCATCCCTGGTTTGTCAGTGGGCTGTGGGCACTGGGAAGAAGCCACAGGCTTTGCTTTCCCAGAGGGGACATCAGTGTGAACTGGGACACCTGGGTCATGATGGTTCCTGCCATTGATGGTCATATAATAGTCGATTATAGTTCCTGAGCGGGATACAACGTTGCACTGTGGCATCATCCTAATGTAGCTTAGCACACACACAATGAGAGAAGACCAGTCTTGGTTAGCTCTGAGTAATTCTTTGGCTTTGATTTTTAGTGTTCATCCGTCTTTCAAAAAGTACAGCTCTTTATGGTCCATGCCACCTGTGACACTGAGTGCACCAGCCTGTCACCCACTGTAGGGCCAGGGTAGTGGGAAATTTCCCTGGCAATGGGGCCTGCCTCTCTGTAAGGGTACTCAGAACCAAAGAAAATCAGGAGCCGGGAAGTCAAAAGTGGCCTTCCTTAATTGCTGTATTCCTTGTTTCCATGGCCAGGGAGACACTTCGGGGGATTACCGGAAGATTCTGCTGAAGATCTGTGGTGGCAACGACTGACCAGGGCCTGGTGGTCACTTCTGCCCACCTGCCAGCAACAGAAGGCCAAAGAATGTCTGTTTCTACCACCACCAGAAAGTAGCCCCTGAGGTGTCTCAGCGTGGACCATCCAGAGAGCCTTGGCCCCTGTCCTATACCCACCCCTCCTGACCCATGTATTGTGCTGAAGGACCTGGGTTGGTTTAGAACTCTCAGGAAGCATTTTCCCTCCCCACCCTCACAGCCTCCTGCTAAAGTAGATGTTCTATTTCCTGTCTCATGTGATCATTTCCTTTTGCTTGTGGCTAAGACTCTTGGCTTCATTTTAGTCATGTAATTTTATATTTTTATTTGGAGACATATTTTTTTTCAGTCATTGCCAGACAGACACACACGAGTCTGTTGGCTGCATACATACACACTTCTGGTGAGAGAGATTGGGTGGGGGAGTGCTGTGTCCTCACTGGGGAGTGAAAAAGAGGACCTTTACGGGTAATCTTTGCATCTGGTGAGTATGTGTCATGAGTTTTGTTATTGCCAAACTCACTCCTTTTTAGAGAAAAAGAAAAAAAAAAAAAAAGACCAGGGAGTCAACTGTTCCATCTTCCATGTAAAGCCACAAGGAGGAAGCCAGTTCCCTGCCAGTGACAGGGCTCCTTGTATTTTGGAATGTGCCTTTAACCTTAATGCCTGTAGCCAAAAGCTGTTTCCAAATTAAAGCCAGCCAGGTCTGGAATATTCTAGAATTTTTTCCTGGTGCCAGCTTGTTTTCTTCTGCTTCGTGATCCCGCCCTGTGGCTCAGGAATTCCAGCTTATTAGCCAATGAAAATTCCTGTAACTTTTAAGTAAAGTTTGTGCTCAGGAACCCTGAACATAAGCTCATTTACAGGGACTTGAGTTGTAAGGACAAGAGGAGGGGGGGTTCCTGAAGTCTGTGGTGGGTGCCCAGACACTGAAAAGCCACGAGGATCTTGGTCCACTGTGGGTGCAGTGAAGTCCCCTTAGGGTGAGGTCGGAACAGTGTGGTCCTTCATCTAGTTCCTGAAGAAGGGTGTGGGTGGGGGCGGGAGTGCAGCTCAGCGCTGCTCCTGGGGGCCAGAGAATAGGGTGGGAACAACCCAGAGAGGCACAAGACCTGTGCCTTCCCTTGGGGAGCCTCTGGCCTGAAAGGCTTCTCCCTAGCTTATGGTCTCTAGCAGGCCCTTCGTTGTGGTGTTGATGGTATGGTTGTGGTGTTTAGAGAAGGGTTGTCCAGAAGAGGCAGTTTCTAGAAACCACTGTGTCATGTCCAGAAGCCAGAGCTTGCTTTACTGGTCAGGTCCCTTTCTGGTCCGTCCATGGCCTCCTTTGTTGGAAAGTTTAGAAAAGAGAGAATCCAAAGAGACTAGGGTGGAAGATCAAGCCTGCCAAGGACTCCAGAGAGTGGCTTGTCTGCAGAGTAGACATTTGCTTGGGGATACCGCCTGACTCTCACTGCCCTAGCATAGTGAGAGAAGTAACACCCAAGGGGCATGTGGCAGCCATGAGCTAGGCACTACCCTGGTCTACCTAGACCTGCCTTCCTGAGCCAGGGAGGCTGGCGTGGGTAGTGGGATCACTGGACCCCATCCTATAGCTTTGCCTCAGTTTCCGCTCCCAGAGCCACTTGAGCTAGTGCTCTTCTGCCCAGAAACCCCTCGAGTAGGGCAGGCCCCTCGCTCTTAGTTGCTGGGTGGGACCTGCCCAAGTGGGATGAACTACTTGGCATTGCACAACTTGCCATGAACTTAGGGTGACCCTGGTGGCCTGAGCTGTGCCAGGGCCTAGATCCATCCTGCTCTGATGTGACTGAAGGTTCTATGACATTACTTTGCCTGGTTGTCTACATCAGAGGTATCCAGCAGGCAGTATGTAGCCTGCAGATGCATTTACTTTGGTCCCCAAAGTGTTTCTTTAGAATGTTGGATTTGTTGCCAACATTTCAACATTGGGAGAGTTCATATTTTAAAAATTCTGGAATTCTGGCTTCTCTTGAAAAATCAATCTAGCAGCAGTAGGCCTGCATTCGTATGTGAGAGGAACTGCTGGAGCCATGTTGTAGCTGCCCCTTTAGACGAAGTATGTACTTTCCATTTTGCCACAGGCCCCACCACTCCCTATTGTTTTACACCAAACCCATGTTATCTGTTTGGCCTGCAGGACTTTGACTTTGAGGCTCCTGGTCTACACACTTGGTGACCACCACAGTGTTGGTTCTCTCTGCCTTCTTGTTCATCTGGCTTCCCTCCTGGCCATGACCACAAGAGCCAACTCATGGTAACTGTGTACTGGAGGACTGAGTGAACTCCTCATTGAGATGTCGCTAGGAACAAAAGACACTACTGCTCTCCAAGGCCAGTGGGAGGTTGGGGTCAACACTGCTGATTTTATGCCCAGGACAAAAATGAGAGGGAGACACGCGACCATACAGGTCATCTTTCTGGGAGAGAACTACACTGGTATTTTTCCTGCTTCCTGGAGGCGTTAGTCAAGGCCAACTATGTCACATGTCAAATCTCACTTCCACAATAGCAACTAGAGGGTAAGACATCAAATGAGTTCATCCCTCAGTAAATTTTCAGCAGCTGCGGGGGCATTGGAAGGAACACGTATCAGGGACGGGGCTGGGACTAGAGTGAGGCACTTGGGGGCAAAATTTAAGGAAGGAGTCTTGGAGGGCTCACTTTGTGGACAGGTAGAGGCCTGAAGCAGTGGTTCTCAAACCCTAGTGTGCATCACCTGGGGATCTTGTTAAAGTGCAGCTCCCTGGGTCCCACCCTCAAAGATTCTGATCAGGCATGGGGTCTAGGGAACTGCATCTATAACCAGCTTGCCTCCTGATTCTGATGCTGGTCTAAACACTCCTGCACTGAGGCAGAGAGCTCCCTGAGACTAGAGGTGTTCACACAGATGGCAGGTGAGCAGATGGCAGGGTGTGTTTGTTTGGAGTTCAGTCAGGCGATGGGAGATGGGACAAAGCTACTTCCAGCCTTGGGAAGAGGATCTGAAAGATGAAACTTTGCAGGTGCCCGTGGTCAAAGCAGTGACTGAATGGCCATGTGGTGTCCATCCTCTGTTGGTCTCAGGGAATTAAAGTCCCAGCCTAGGCCTTGGCCCTTCGCCTCTGCTGTCATCCCTTTCCTGCCCCAGCTAATATGGACCCAGAGTGAGTCAGACCTGGAAAGGGAAACTAAGCTAAATGTTTCCCCAGGCAGAGAATGGCTTAAATTTTCACCTTACCAAACCCAGAAGCTCTCTGCCTGTGTTCCTCTAAAGAGCAGAGACATCATTATTCAGTTCCCCACCTGGCCCTAAACAAGGTCCCCTCTCAGCAAAGAAGTCAGTCAAGTCCCCCAGCTCTTCCAGGGGCTCTTAGCCTCAGCCCCTACTCCTTGGAAAGCTGCCTCTTGGCTTAATACTGAGGTCCACCCTGAGCCTGGTTCCTTCAGTAAAAGCTGATGTAATCTTGAAGCAGAAGGAGCATTCAGCCACTGATTTGCTGACCCTGGGTAAGTCACTTCCCCTCGGGGTGTCTGCTATCCCTTTGTAAAATGAGGCATAGACTTGATCAGAGTTTCTTAAACATCAATGTGGTCAGTAAAAATGGCTGAGTAGGGAACTCCAAAAGTCTATTCCTCTACAAAAGCTGTGACTAAACTGGCAATGTCAGAATCAACTTTATCAGAACTCTGGAAACTAATCAAGTTTACAACAGCCATGCTAGTGCTTACCAGAAAAACCTGAATCTGGGGTAGAGAGCTTTGTGGCATTTTAACTTACCCTGGCCCCAATCCCCCAGCTCAGCAGTGACCTTGAAGAGAACAGCTTGCATTCACAATACAGGTTCCTAGTACTGGACAGAGTAGAAAGGACCTTATTCTCAAAAACTTGTGGTGATGCAGTGGTTAAGAGTTAGGCTGCTAACGAAAAGGTTGGCAGTTTGAATCTACCAGCCGCTCCTTGGAAACCCTATTGGGCAGTTCTACTCTGCCCTGTAGGGTTGCTATGAGTCGGAATTGACTAGATGGCAACGGGTTTGGTTTTTTTTTTTTCTTTTTAATTTTACCTGTTTGGTAGCTCCCTGAAGGACTGGCTCAAAAGGCTTACCTTTATTTCATCTAACTTGGAACTCTCCCAGAGTGGAGATGGTAACCCTGAGAGGAGGCATTTAAAGGCGAATGTATTAGCCCCTGCTGCCTGGAGTAAGCATAACAGTTGGAGCAAACAACTGACAAAAAGCTTGGGAGCAAAGGCTGGGGAATGAGATGGAAAATGAAGCTAAGCAGAGTTGTAAACTACCCATATGAGTGCTGAAAGTGTGCCCCAACACACAAAGCCTGTCTGCAAAGACTGTGAGAACCATTAAGCCAAATGAGCAGTGATTTCACTGGCCACACATGACACACAATACAGACATTACAAAATTCATAAAGTCCCTAAATAAACTACCGTAGTTTTACACAAACAACGCATGCCTTCTACATTTGTTTGTCAACCATGCCCTCACCCCATGAGGTACTTTCATTAGTACACTATGCTAATTTTTTTACAGCAACATGTAGAAAAAAAAAAACTGGTATAGCAGCATAAAATTTTGCATAAAAATATGGTACAACATCTAAAAATTAAACAAGAAGCAACAATAAACCCTGGGAAGGAGGAATAATCTGATTTCTAGAACTGTCACATTGTAATATTCATAATGTTCTGGTTTTCAACAAAAAATTATGAGGCATGCACAGAAATAAAGTATGGCCTGCCTATACACAGGGAAAGAAGAAATTGATAGAAACTCTCTGAGAGAGTCCAGATATTGGACTACTAGATGAAGACTTTAAATCAACCATTTTAAATATGCTCAAAGAGCAAAAGAAAACCAGATACAAAAAACTGAAGGAAACCATGAGAACAATACCTCACTAAATAGAGAATAAAAAGAAATAATAAAAAGGATACAAATAGAAAATCTGGAGTTGAAAAATACAATAACTGAAGTAAAAATTTCACTAGACGGTTTCAACAGCAGATTTAAGCAGGCAGAAGAAAAAACTAGCTAATTTGAAGGCAGTTCAGAGTACCCAGACAGAGGAGCAGGAAAAACAAAAATGAAGAGAAATGAGCAGCCCGACACCTGTGGGATACCATGAAGTCCAGCTTACACATAACGGGAGCCCTAAGAAGAGAGGAGAAATAAATGGGCAGAAAGGATATTTAAAGAAATAATGGCCCCAAAATTCCCAAATATGATGAAAATACAAACCTACACATCCAAGAAGCTCCAGGAACCCCCAGTAGGATAAACTCAGAGATCCACACCAAGACACGAACTGTCAAATGCCAAAGACAAGAAGAGAATCTTGAAAGCAGCAAGAGAGAAGAAACTTGTCGTGTACAAGGGATCCTCAATAAGATTAACAGTTTCTCAGCAGAAACCATAGAGGCCAGAAGGCAGCTTTAAAGTACTGAAAGGGAAAATTGTCAACCAAAAATTCTATATCCAACAAAACAGTCCTTCAAAAATGAAGGAGAACTTAAGACATTTATCTGAAAAGCTTTTCCTTCTAACATCAGGAATAAGACAAGGATGTCCACTCTCTCCACTTGTAATCAACACTGTACCAGAAGTTCTAACCAGGGCAATTAGGCAAGAAAAAGAAATAAAAACCATTTAAATTGGAAAAGAAGTAAAATTATCTCTATTCACAGATGACATGATTTTATATATAGAAAATCCTACAGTATTCACCCACAAAAACTACTAGAGCTAATAAGCCAATTCAGCAAAGTTGCAGGATATGAGATTAACATACACAAATCAGCTGTATATTGGTGTCACTGAAAAAATGTTAAAGTGGCTAATAAGTATATATTTATAACAAAACAATCTGTTGTATTTACATATTAGCAATGAATAAAAATGAAATTTAAAAACAATTCCATTTACAATAGCATAAAAATAATAAAATACTTAATAAATTTAACCAAGGAGGTGCAAGACTTGTACACTGAAAACAATAAACATTGCTGAAAGAAATTAAAGAAGACCTAAATAAGTGGAAAGACGTCCTGTGTTCATGGATCAGAAGACAATATTGTTAAGATGGCAATACTTCCCAAACTGATCTGCAAATTTCATAAAGTCCCTAATAAAATTCTAACTGCCTTTTTTTCAGAAACAGACCAAGCTGATCCTAAAATTCATATAGAATTGCAAAGGACCAATAGTCAAAATAGTCTTGAAAGAGAAGAACAAAGTTAGAAAACACACTTCCCAATCTCAAAACTTACTGCAAAGTACAGTAATAAAGTGTGCTATTGGCATAGGGATAGATATATTCATCAATGGAATAGACCTGAGAGTCAAAACTAAACCCATACATCTATGGTCAATTGATTTTTTACAAGGGTGCCAAGACAATTCGATGGGGGAAAGGATAGTCTTTACAACAAATGGTACTGGTACAACTGCCTATCCATATGCAAACAAATGAAGTTGGAACCCTATCTCACACCATATAAAAGAATTAACTCAAAACAAAAACCTAATGTAAGAGCTAAAACTATAAAACACTTAGAAGAAAACACAGGAGTCAACCTTCATGATCTTGGATTTGACAATGGATTCTTGGGTATGATACCAAAAGCAAAAGCAACAAAAGGAAAAAAAAAGATATATTAGACTTCATCAAAATTTAAAAACTTTGTGAATCCAAGGGCAACATCAGCAAAACGAAAAGCAACCTACAGAATGGGAATATTTGCAAATCATATATATATAATAAGGATCTAGTATTCCCAATATATAAAGAATTCTTACAACTCAAAAAGACAGTCCAATCAAAAAATGAGCAAAGGACTTGAATAGACATTTCTCAAAAGAAGATATACAAATGGCCAACAAACACATGCAAAGATGCTCAACATCATTATTTATTATGGAAATGCAAATCAAAAACACAATGAGTTACCACTTCACACCCACTCGGATGGTTATAATCAAAAGTCAGATCATAACAAGTATTGGAGAGGATGTGGAGAAATTGGAATTCTCATACATTTCTGGTGAGAATATAAAATCATGCAGCTGCTGTGGAAAACAATTTGGCAGTTCCTCAAAAAGCTAAAAAGAATTGCCATAGAAGCCTGCAATCCCACGAGTAGATATATTCCCAAGAGAATTGAAAACATCTATTCACACAAAAGCTTTTACATGAATGTTCATAGCAACATTATTCATAATAGCTAAAAAGTGGAAATAACACAAAACGTCCACCAACCGATAAATGAATAAACAAATGTGGTACATCCATACAATGAAATACTCAGCTATAAAAAGGAATGAATTACTAATACTTGCTACAACATGGGTTGACCTTGAAAGCATTATGCTAAACGAAAGAAGCCAGACACAAACAGCCACAAATTGTGTGATTGCATTGATAGGAAATATCCAGAATAGGCAAGTTCCTATAAACGGAAACGGATTAGTGGTTGCTAGGGATGGTGGGAAGGGGAATGGGGATCTCCCTCCGTTTCCCCAATTGGTAAGAGGTTTTTGTTTGGGGTGATGAAAATGTTCTGGAATTAGATAGTGGTGATGGTTGCATAGCATTGTGAAAATACTGGAAGCAACTGAATTTGTAGTTTAAACTGGTTAAAGTGGTGAATTTTGTTATGTGAATTTGACATCAATTGAAAAAAAAACTTTAATGTGACACTTCTCTTGGAGATTGTGTTACAATGCAGATTCTGATTCAGGTGATACTGCTGTGCTCATCTATGGCCACGTTGTGTAGCAAGACTCTAGAATGCCCTTCCGCTGTCTTTCTGGTCCCTCTCCTCTGTGAACAAACCCTTGCCCTACCCGCTCCTATAAACAAGGAGTGCTGAAGCACAAATGACTGGAGGCTCCCAGGTCTGAGCCGGGAGAGAATGCATACCTCAGGTCATGGGAGTAGATGCGGAAGGGCTTGTGTTATAGGGGTCATTCTTTCAGCAGACACAAAGGGGACCAAAGGAGTTGCCTTTATTTCATGCAGTGCTGGGAAAGGCAGGCAAGAAGGTGGCTTTGCTCACAAAGACGAGCTGTCCAGCAGGTGTAGTGCCACCAGCCACTGGGCTTCCACCTCCTGTGCTCAGGAGGGATCTGAAAAAGAAAAGGGGCGGCCTCAGAGTGAGCCAGCAGGGGGCGATGAAGGGCCCTGGGTGCCCTGCAGCTTCCATCCCTCCCCATCCTGGTCCCTGGGAACTCCTGTGCCAGGGAGCGTGGGGCTCAAGGAGGGAGTAGGGTGGCACACACCCCTCCCCGATCAGTGGGAATGCCAGTCTTCCCTGGGAGTGTTTCGTGGTAGAACAGGAGTGCACACTCAGAAGGGAGCAGAAAGGAGCCCAGGGGGCTTTGAGGAGTGGAAATGGCTAGTGAAAGAGGCAGGTTCTTGGCGTCAGGGTTTTGCTGAAAGCAGAACTCGAATGAAAGGGGCCAGCTCTTCCAGGAGCCCTGACCTGATGCTGCAGGAACCCCGAGGCGGGGAATGGGAAGCAGGGTGCCCTCCCACTCCTGTCCCAAGGGCCCGAGCCTCTCCCTGCTTGTCAAGGAGACACCCATGCAGTGGACCAGTCATCCCTGTCCTGCTTATTCCATTATCTGGCCTCATCTCTGGGGGCTATCATCTCTGCCATCCGAGCCACTCACCGTCTCCTAGGAGGTCGGGGGCTAGGCCGAAGGGCCCCAGGGGCAGGTTCCAGGCCAGCTCCTCCAGCAGACCTAGCAGGCCTTTCACTTCTGCCTCCAGGTGCTCCACCGTCTTCTCCACCGTCTGCTCAGAGCAAGGGGAGGAGGGACAGTCAAGGGCAATGTGCTGCCAAGTTCACCCTGGACCTGGGGGTCAGACTGAACCTTGACTTCCCCTTTTTCAGCCACATCCTAATAAGCACCCAGTGGTACAGCAGGGTACAGCAGGGACTTGAGTTCTCCTTACCCAGGCTCTGCCCCTACCTGCGCCTCAGTTTCCCCAGATGACAACATGTAGGGGCTGGATGAGGGGTCCCCTCTCTAAGGCTGCTCCTGGCTCTGGCACCCACTGGCTTTACTCAGTCACAGGTTTGTAGTGGAGCGGCCCTGGGATACCTTCTTCCTTTTCAGGCCTTCACTACCTGGATCTCACACGCCTTGTCCAGCCCCCTAGTGGTATCTCTCCCAAATGACAGGTTTGGGATTTTGAAATTCCAGTGGACCCTGTTGGTTTTTGATCAATGGAACCTGTTGGCAGTCTGATGAAGCCTATAGACCCCTTCTCAGAATAATGCTTTAAATGCAAAAAAATGAAACATATAGGATTACAGAGGACACCAATTGCATCAAAATATTCAAGTGTTAAAAATTAAAATTCTGATACATGTATTTATTAACTCATTAAATGACATGATCTAACATCAGGTCCAATAACTACTGTAATTTGACATACTGATGAGTAGAAGTGATATTTTGAGATATTTGCAATAACTATAAGGTGGTGAAATTATCTGTGATTTCTATTAATGATAAAGTTGTGGTGTTGTCAATGCTGCTACGGTTTGTTGTCCTATGTTTATAATGAAAGGAAACACTATTTTAGTTAGAGGTCTGTGAAGATAGGAGCCCTGGTGGCACAGTGGTTAAGTGTTCGGCTGCTAACTGAAAAGTTGGCAGTTCGAATCCACCAGCTGCTCCTTGGAAACCTTATGGAGCAGCTCTAATCTGTCCTATAGGGTTGCTATGAGTCAGAATCGACTTGACGGCGATGGGTTTGGTTTTGGGGTTCTGTGAAAATAAAGATGTCATTTTTTCCCCACACAAGTTTATGGACCCCAGGTTAAGAACCATGGCTGTATAACAAAACACGGTGACAGAACTTCTACATTCTTGTCAGTAATTATGTGGCAATCTCTGGCTGGGTTGTAAGCAAGGCTCCAGGAGAGGCCTGTTGGGAGCTGGTCAGCCTAACAGCCCAGTGGGGCAGGGAGATGTTTAACATGGTGGTCACTGGGCAGAATTTCCTGACATTCCAGAGTAAGGCTGGGTCTGAGCTCCATAATGCCACCAGCCCAGCAGGTGGTCCTGAAGCTTCGAGTCCTCCCCAGAGCACCCTTATTACCTCCTCCATGACCTCTAAACGGCCTTGGACAGCCATGTGTCTGTCACACCTGCTGCTCCGGGCTGGGTCTCCTCGGGAGGGGCTGAAGGGTTCAGCAGCTGTGGGAAGACAAGGCTGGTCACCATGGGGCTCTCGGTTTCCCTGTAACTAGAGACTCCAGAAAAACACTGGCTCGAGTGAGGCAGGTCCTGAAAATAGTCCCCCGGAGAAGCAGGAACACTCAGGTGTGAGTCAGCAGGTGAGTGTGTGCCTCCCCTGTCACTCAAGTGTCTCTTTGGCCATGGTCACCTACAGTCACAGGTGGGCCTCCTCAAGGAGGTGATGCCTGAGCTGGCTTAGGAATGATCAGGGTCAGCCAGGTAAGGAAGGGAGGAAAGGAGGTTTCAGCCAGGCAGAACAGCATGTGCAAAGGCAGAGAGGCATGAAATAGCATGGCTCACTGGACAAACCCTCAAGGGAGCTGGAGTGGCTGGAAAGTACAGGGCGGGGTGAGGGATGAGTCTGGAGAGGTGGATCAGGGATACTAAGCTAAGGGGGTTGAACTTCATCCCAGAAGCTTTAGGAAACCAATTACGATGGTTGTTTTGGGGTTTGAGAAGGTCACACAGTCATATATGAATGTTCAAAATGCAGAGAATGGATTGGAGGGATGTGCCTTTGAACACGAGTCCTTGAGGGTACAAAAACAAAAGTTTTCCAGAATTAGTTTCTACCTCCTAACCTTCCTTTGGAGCCCTGGTGGTGCAGTGGTTAAGCGATCAGCTACTAACCAAAAGGTTGGTGGTCAAATCCACCCAGTGACGCCTCAGAAGAACGGCCTAGCAATCTACTTCCAAAAGATCATAGCCACTGAAAACCCTGTGGAGTCACTATGAGTTAGAATCCACAGCAACCAGTTTGGTTTTTTGTTTGGCCTTTGAATACAGGAGGTTACTGCAGTAATCAGGGTAAGCAGTGAGGAGGGCTATACGGAGGCATTAGCAGTAGGAAGCGAGGAAGAAACAGTGGAGATATTTTTGTGGTAGCATTGACATTGGTGACCAGTTAGTAATATCTGACATTTGATGAGTGTTATCATGTACCATGTTTACTTAGCACTCTGTTAATTCATTCCACCTCTGTAATAACCTATTGCTATCCCCAGTTTACATGTAAGGAAATTGATGCACAGAGGGGATTAAATGGTATGTCGAAAGTCACACAGCTAGTAAGTGGTAGATCTAGGATTCAACCTGTTCAGTTCTTGATTCATCATTTTCCTCCCCAACGTTGCTTCCTTCTTTTCATCTAGTAGCACCCCAGTAACCCTCATATCAGAAGTCTTACAGCCTCGTTAACAGCTCAGCCTCTAGAATCAGTGGCTCTAAGATGTCTGTGGACATCAGAATTGACTGGAACCTTGGCAAAAACTGACAGGAAGGAGGGTACTGTCCCAGAAACCAGGAGAAGAGCTTCACAGAGGATGGAGTGTCCAGCACAGCCTAACACAGCAGAGAGATCTAGCAAGATAAAGACTGAAAAATAGGCAACACGGAAGTTACTGCTAAGTTCACTTTTAACAGAGTGTGGAGGCAAAGCAGTTTAGATTGCAGTGGGATGAGAAAGGAAGCTTAACCCATAAAATAACCTGTTGCTGTCGAGTCAACTCTATAGGACAGAGTAGAACTGCTCTATAGGGTTTCCAAGGAGCGGCTGGTGAATTTGAACCACGAACCTTTTGGTTAGCAGCCCAGCTCTTAACCACTGTGCCACCAGGGCTCCAAAGGAAGGGTAGGAGGTGGAAACTAATTCTGGAAAAGTTTTTCACGAAGCTTGCTATGAAGGAAGGGAGATCAGATCACAAGGTCTAGAGAAGTGTGTATTGTTGTTGTTTCTGTTCTTCAGGATTGGAGAAACACAATCATGCTTGTAGCCAGAGGGACAGGAAGGAGGAAGGAGAACCAAAGGAATGCATTTCCCAAAGAGATAGGAGGTCATGGAATCCAGAAATGGCTGTGAGGGGAATGGGCAATGCATGGAAGGAAGAGAGAGGGAATTCACCAAAAATGGCTATAGATAAATTTCTAGAGGGCCAAAAAGTTGAGTGAGTTCCCACCTGGTACCCTCTATTGACTTAGTAAAGTAAAAGGGGAATCATCTGCTGAAAATTCACATAGGTTAGAAGGGAGGAGAGCTAGTTGTTAGATTTCCAGAAATTTTGTGAGTTGTACTGTTAAACACAGGCGTTAAAATGGGAGTCATGGTGAGAGTATTTACACCATGGAAATTGGCAAACGCTTTTTTTTTTTTTTGAGAGTCAGTTTATCAGCACACCACTGTATGGAGTCTTGAGTAAAGCAAGGGCTTCAGAAGGGGATGTGGAGAATGAGGAAGGTTGTACATGAGGACCTTGCAGAACAGCCAGGAACCATGAGGAATTCTGGAAGCACTAGTCCTCCACACCAGTGCTTAGAAGTCCGGGTATAGAGCAGCAAAGGCAGATGGTTTTCTGAAGCTGAACCGGGGAGTCTGAAGGATGAGTATGGTGGAGGGTAAATAATCATGGACTGAGGATTTCTCCAGCGACAGTTTAATGGATGAGCTCTGGAGTCTAGTGCGGATAAGAAAGAAAGGAGGCCAATAAGAGGGCCAATGAATTGGAAAAAATAGAGGGGATGAAGGGACTGGAGGTCTTGATGAGGTAATGGAAGTAACAGAAGGAACAAGCTGTAAGGGATACCGCAATTTAACTTTTAGAGGTGGAGCAGCTTCAGATAACAACAGTATCAAGGTTGTGGCCATGGGTATGGGCATCTGAAGAAGAGTGGGGTAAGATCTCTCCAAAGGCAAAACTCTTTTAACTGTAAGCCCTTCGTGTTGGATAGTTTGACCAAGAGGACAATTAAAGGTTGTCTAGAAAGTTGGCAGGTCTTAAGGTGAGAAGGAGATGGTGAGGTATTTTACTGGTGATGAACATGTAACTCTGAGAAGTTGAGTGACTTGCCCAAGGTCACATAGTTAGCCAAATGACTGAGCTCAAGCATCCTGACCCCACTTCAGTAATCTGGTCTCCTGGAGCTCTACCTCAAAGCCCACCTGCCCTAAGAGTCTCTCATTCCAACTCCATCTGGATCCAGACTCTTCCACTCAAGGGTGTGAATCAAGACCAGGCACACAACTTCCTTCCACTCTGAGCATCTTTAAGGGGGTTCTTTGTGGAGAACAATTTGTTTTTGTTTTTTTAATTCTCCTTTTCATTATTTCCCTGAATTGAACTTAGAAAAGCCTCTTCAAAAGACAATTGTTTTATTGTTGACTTGGGAGGGAGGTGATATAATGGAACTTAGGTTATTTTTTTTTTTTGAAGACTGTCTTTTAGAAATACATAATGAAATATTTATAGATGAAATGCTATGATATCCTGAATTTACTTCAAAATAATCCAGGCTGGGGGATGAGGAAGACGTGGGTAGGGGTATAGAACAAATAAGATTGGCCGAAGTTGATCATTGCACTTGAGTAATGGGGACACAGAGTTCATTCTACTATTCTCTCTATTTTTTTATATATTGTTTGAAATTTTCCATAATAAAAAGACAGTTGTCTGATGGAGATGCCAACAAAAAGCAGAAGCCATTGCAGGCTGCACACATCGATGTAAAAACATTCAGAACATGGGAGGCGGTGGTCAGAGGAACCATGCCTGGAGGCTGAGCTCCGTCTTGAAAGGCCTTTAACAGGCAGGAGCGGGCCAAGCTGGGGCCTTGGTGAAGGGACTCCAAATCCTGACTCATTCGTATCAGCTGAAAGACCTGGAGTGCTCAGCCTGGAAAGGAAAGACTTTGAGGGGGCAGGACGAGCTGTTCTCACTCACAGGGAGGGTTGTCCCGGGAAGAGGGCATCTGTCCTGGTGTGTGCATGTGTGTGCGTGTGTATGTGTGTGTGTGTGTGTGTTCACACAAGCTCCACACAGGTGCCTTTGGCCAAGTCTTTCCCTGGAGGCTCTCTGCCCTCTCCCAGTTCCTAAACTACTCTCCTCTCCACTCCCTTCCCCAGGTTAGGCCAAAAGGAAACAATGGGGCCCTGCCAGCCAAGTGGGGATCTGCTAGCTTTGTGAGTCACGGACAACATAAAGCTGCTCCCCTCCATTGGCCTGAAACACCCTGTTCTCTATATGTCTGCAGTGAGGGCTAACTTGGCCCCAGAACCTCTCCAGGGAAAAGACTGGGCTGGGCTTGCTCTCCACACCAACACAGCACTAATCCTTCACATCTGGGCAGAACTGCACTCTGTGCACAGCAATGCAACTGACCATGAGCTCATCCAGGCCTCCCAACAAACTTAGGGCCAGGGCCCTAACAACTACCCTGCATTTCCTCCTCCATCTCCCGTGTGGTTTACCATGGCACTGACTTCAGCACATTATGGTGGAAAACACACTGGTGACCCCAGTCCTAAACCTGGCTCAGCCACTAATTGCTGCGTGACTATGGGAAATCTAAGTGTTGAAAAGCAAAGATGTCACTTTGAGGACTAAGGTGTGCCTGACTCAAGCCATGATATTTTCAATCACCTCAAATGCATTAGAAAGTGGGACAATGAATAAGGAAGACAGAAGAAGAATTGATGCCTTTGAATTATGGTGTTGGCAAAGAATGTTGAATATACCACAGACTGCCAGAAGAACAAACAAGTTTGCTCTTGGAAGAAATACAGCTAGAGTGCTCACTGGAAGCAAGAATGGGGAGACCTTGTCTCGTGTACATTGGACATGTTATCGGAAGGGCTAATCCCTGGAGAAGGACATCATGCTTGGTAAAGTAGAGGGTCGGTGAAAAAGAGGAAGACCCTTAATGAGATGGATTGACACGGTGGCTGCAACAATGAGCCCAAATATAGCAACGATTGTGAGGATGGCGCAGGACCAGGCAGTGTTTTGTTCTGTTGTGCATAGGGTTGCCATGAGTCGGAACCTACTCAACGGCACCTAACAACAACAACAACATGGGAAATCTCCTCCCCAAGCCTTTGCTGTCCTCTCTGGGAAATGGGTAGGGTCGGCTGGAGGCCCTGCTTCCAGATGCCTGAAGGCTTTGACTCTTAGCTACAAGGACAGAAC